GCGCGCCGCCTGCCGCAGTTCGACCGCTACTTCCAGGCGCTCTCGCCCGCCACCAACCTGCGCAACCCCTGGTTCCGCGACTTCTGGGAGCAGAAGTTCCAGTGCAGCCTGCGGGGCGGCCCGCTGCGCGCGTGCTCCGAGCACCTGGCCCTGGACAGCAGCAACTACGAGCAGGAGTCCAAGATCATGTTCGTGGTGAACGCCGTGTACGCCATGGCACACGCCCTGCACCGCATGCAGCGCGCGCTGTGCCCCAACACCACCAAGCTGTGCGACGCCATGAAGGTGCTGGACGGCCGGAAGCTGTACCGCGACTTCCTGCTCAAGATCAACTTCACAGGTGAGGGTGCGAGGCGTGCCGGGTGCAGGAGGTGGCGGCCGGCGGGACACATGTCCCTCTGCCCCCAGTCAGAAAGCCCTTTGTCAGGCCACAGAGCAAGGGGCTTGTCCCCAGGGTGCGGGTGTGGGACGGCGTGTGAAACCCACGTGGACCTCAGCTGGCGACCAGCTTCACAGGTGAGCGGGTGAGGCCTGCCCCTTGGGGCAGAGTGTGAAGGCGCCCCAGGACCCATACACCTCCACCCAGGCAGGACATCCTGTGTCAGGGCCACAGAAAGGACTTGTCCTTGGGGTGCACGGGGTAAAATCCAGCAGAGACTACAGGATGGAGATCAGCGTCACAGGTGAGTGCGCAGCGTGTCCTGGGCGTACTGGGGTGCAAGCCAGCAGGACCCAAACTCTGCCCCGGGCAGAAAGCCCAGCTTCAGGGCCACAGAAAGTGCTCGTTCTCGGGGTGTGGGTGAAATCCTCAGTGGCTCCTCCTGCAGCTCAGCCTCACAGGGACAGTTGGTCCCAGGGTGCAAGGCTGAGATCTAGGGACCCCAGAAAGCCTGCCCCTGGCACGGAACACTGTGTCAGGACCACAGAAAGGTTTCGGACAGCTGTATATGTGTGGAGACGCAGTGTGCAGGCCCTATGATGTTCTGACTCGTTCTCAAGTGAAGGTCTTGCCCACCACACTCTGGAAATGAAAGACCTGGTGCCAGCTGGTGCCCCACTGGGGTGGCCCCCTGGCCACGGCCAGGCCACAGTGCCCTCCTGCTTGTTGTTAGCTGCAGGACGGGACACATGCAGTGTGGGCCTTCTCTTCAGCAGAATTGACACCTCCTTAAGATCACGAACTTCTGTGCTTGCCTTGTGGGTGATTTCAGCAAAAGAAGCTTGTAACTTTCAAAGACCCAGAGCCTCATTAGGGACGACAGGGGTGACCTCCAGGCATCATGGGCCATGTGCTCTTGTACAGAAACTTTCCCTGCAGTTTGGAAGAGCTATGGGTTTTCTGTTGGTGCTGTGAAATGAAGCAGCTTTTCCATGAGCTTTGATATGAACAAACTGAGGATGATGGAAGGCAGTCTGGTCAGAGGGGGCCTGGCAGAGGTATTCCAGGGGGTTTTGCTGAGTCTTAATTTCTAAATATAGTATTTCATTTTAATGCATTATTAGCATAAATATAAAACTTTAGGTTTGCATTCTCTAGTCAGGAGAACCCAAAATCAGCTCATTAATACACTTGTTTTGGGGACTGTAGTGTACTCCCCAGTCATAAAATAACAAGTAGTATCACAGCACAGAAGACTTTGATGCCAAAGCCAGGACAATGGCGGAGTGCTCTCCCTGGCACATTCCTAGCAGCTGTGGCCCCAGCATCATCCCTGTCGGAAGTCCCTTCCATCCATGCAGCCCTATGGCCCACATGGGGGTTCCCACCTCGCCCTCACAGGGGCACTCATGAGTCAGGTGGTCTGAAAGTCATAGGACCAGTGAGTGTTGCCTCCCATTTCAAAATCCTCACTCCCCGATGGTCTTGAAAATAAGCACAAACAACGCCATTATGCCTTCTTCCATATCTTCTTTACTCACCCCACACCGAGGTGGAGGATAAAAGTAATGCAAACCGATGATGTTAGTATTCTGCCATACCCATCTGATGAACAAAACCTGTTTCCTCTCAGACACTTATGGAAAGTGGGAAAATTTGGGGGATCTGTATTCACAGGTATCATGAGTCATACAGAAATAAAAATATATAAAAGCAGTAGTAAATTAGCATTCATCTCACAATCCTGGATTAGTTCCAAGAATGGACTCTGGAGTTGCTTTTAAAAGAGTATTTTTAACAATAGTTGGACTCAGTTACTGGTACATAGCACCTACAGTGCGCTTAAATCATGCAGACAAATAAGATGCTGCAGTGTGTGGCCCCTGTCAGCCAAAACTCAGTGCAATCATTTTTCTGTATTCATTGCATATATTAATTTTGTTATTCTAGTTTAGCCCTTGCTCCTTAGTACGACAACAAACAACTATATCCACCCATCCACGCAAAATAAAGCAATCTTAGACTCCAGGGAGACCTTGCTATTGGCTTCATGTAATTCAGACAGCTTCCTTCATGTGAGTGCTTGGCCTTCAAAGACAAAGAAAAGGGAAAAAACAAGGCCATTTTTGGGTAAATAAAACAAAAGTATTTTCTTTTGGTCTGTCTTGTTCAATTACTGGCTTTGGTTCTAGAATTGAGTTTGGCTGTGCAGACCTGACCATAAAATGCTATTTTAACCTTCTCCATTTGTCAGACATTACTATCATTCATTCCCCAGCTCTGAAGAGAGAAGGAAAGAGAAAAATGGACTTAAACTCCAGAAAATAGAAGGAATTTAGACCTGCCATTAGATAAATACACTTAGTGATGAGAACTGGACAGGAAAATTAATTGGAAAAGAAATGCGTTGCTACAGGAGGATATCAAGATGCTAAAGTAGCTAAACAGTACATTTACAAAAAATATAAAGAATTGACGATGAGAACCCAGCATTTCACTGTGGGTTGCATATATATCAGAATACATGTATTGTATCATATATTAGAATGCAGATTATAGAATACCAATCCCAGCACCTGATAACTTGCATGTGACCAAATACAGGTATATATTTCACCAAGTCCAGAGCTGCTTTTGAAGACCCAGAAGACTGAGAAAGAGTAAGTCCTTTATCTCCAGAGCCTGACATGATGCAGGCACTCACCAGGCAGGAACAGAATGCTCACCAGAGGTGAAAGACACTCCAGAGAGTTAAGACCTGCTTCCTTGTGTACCCTTTGTAATGCTCTTGGGCCACTTTCTCACTTTCTCAATGTGGTTCATAGAACACCCAAAGTCTATAAGGTGAGCCTCCAATTCCAAACTTTCAGATACTTTTCTAAAAATGTTCTAAAGCATTTTTCAGTTAGTAAAGTTTTCCATGGAAAGAGTCCAGTCGTCCAGAATCCTAAAGCAGATATTTGAACAAGGATAACACAGGGTGGCGTGTGGCTCCTCAGAATTACTTTGAGAAGCATTGAAGTGCTTCTTGAGTAAAGGGAAAGCTTTAAGCTCCCAGGACAGTCAGAACAGGGGATAGCACGCCGAGTGTCTGAATAAACGCCATGTCCCTGTGGCTGTGCCCCTCACTTTCCATTCCGAGATGACCCAGAATGGAGACCAGAATGATGTGCCAGACTTACAGAGGTCTTCCTGGAAGACAGGCTCACCCCGCTCCTCCAGAGGAGGAAACTGGGTGTCAGCATTGTCTTCTCCACCTACGGAAGCACAGAGTCACATGAAGAAGCTGTTGGTGACCTGGGAACCAGAGTGCACACAGAACAGGAGGAGAAGGAAAGAGCTCGGGCACCGAACAGCCTGCTGGGCCCCAGACCACCCCTGGGAGAGGCCATCAAGGGTCCTTGGTCAGCGTGCAGTGTGAACCTCAGGTGGGCTAAATATCTGAAAACACGGAAATCACGAGCTTCATGCCAAAAGCACACCCAAGTATGCCATGATGCCAGGCTGGGCCAACCCTCAGGTCCCCAGCATGGCCATTCTTTCCACACACAGTCGTTAGGCCAGGCCCAGAGACCCAGCAGAAGAACAGATGGCACCTCTCGCTTCGAGGAGGGAACCCCAGCATCTCATCTCCAGAACAGCCTCAGAGGATAGGAACAGGATCGTGGGGCACTGCAGGACCAGGGCATCTCCAGGGCTCACTGTTCTGTCTTGGTCTTGGATTCTGTTTGGGACTGGGAAATGATTGTGTGTCTTGTGCCTAGAAAGATACAAATCTCACACACACATCTCAGCCTCAGGACCAACTTGATGGTGAGGAGGATGAGACCTCACCCTACCAGCCTGATAGACACAGGAGGGCTGGGAGGAGGCCTGGCGTGGTGTCTGGTTTTTATTTGCTGGCTTGCTTGGTTGCTGGCTGGTGTTTTTCCTCCCCGCTCACTTCCAGGTACAGTGGAGACATAGCTGCCTAGAGTCTGGGGAGTAGCCAGACTGCCCTTCTCACTTCCCAGTCCCATACCTGGCAAGTCCTGGGGCCCAGCCTTTCTGCGAGCTGCTCCTGTGTGTGACTCATCCCCGGGACCAGGCTGCTCCCAGAACTGCACTCTCAGGGCCTGCACCGGGAAGGGCAAGTTTTCTGGGACACTGCACTCCAAGGAATACACTGCAGCTGACCCCGACCCAGCCAAGCCTCTGGAAAAGCACAGGCCCTCCAAGGCCAGCAAGAGAGCCAAAATGGTAATGGCCACGTCTTTAGATGAATGGGCTTTGAAGTCCCTGAAAGAGCAGGCTGCTCTTGATCTTGCCTCCTCCACAGAACGTTTGTGGTTCCCACAAAGCACAGAAACTTGCTCCAGCGCTGCTGATCAAAAGCATTTCCAAAACGTGAAGATAAATGTCCTGTGCTGCTTTCTTTCCCTTTCCTCCGGTCAGCTTTCCGGGGTCACGGGAATAAGGCTGGAGCCCTCAAAGGGCAGCACTGATGCAGCCCTTACTTGTTTATGCACGGTGTGTCTGCGCTCTGGTGGCTCACAGCATGAGAACCAATTCCCATTTTATGCTCACATGGGAGAAGAAGCCTTGTGGAAACTTCATTTTCTACTTTGGCCTTGGCTTTGTGCTGCTGCTGCTGCTGCTTATTACCACTGTTACTGTTACAGTGGCTATTACTGCTTTATCATCCTTAGTTTATCTTGATTTATTTGAAGAGACATCCTGTCCCCAGTGAAGTATGAAGAAGTGGATACTGCCATCTTCCTAATAGAAAAGTGATTCCCAGACATTTTAGATACTGTGGTATGCTTACAGGAACCACTCAAAGCTATCTGGAGGCTGGAGAAAACACTTTGAGAACTTAAATGCTATATTTTTTATATTTTATTCATTAATTCTCACAATAATCCTGTCATAGCTAGGCATGATGGTGCACACCTGTAGTCCTAGCACTCTGAAAGGCTGAG